AATACGACTGGGGAAGACGGCACAAAGCAATTGTACAAATGGTGATGAAAATGATGATGGTGATAAAAGTGGTGATGATGGTGATGGACGTGTTCCCGATCTTCTTCAGACTTGCAGTTGCAAAATGTATGTATAAGTCTAAACAACGTTTTCAGGGGCTTTGATGAGTGGAGTGGCGATTCGTCTTTGCTGTTTTCCATCAGTTCGATCTCACGCGCTTTGGTTTCCTGGAATTGCATGGTGATTACCACCAGACACAAGTTCACAAGGAAGAATGAACCCATCTAGAAATGAAAAAGATAAATCACAGCTGGATGACTTACTAATTAACTAATTAAGGGAGGAGGGAAAGAACCAATGGACCGACAGAAAGACGGACCAACAGACCGACAGACCCGGCAGACCGACAGAACGACGGACCGACGAACCGACGAAGAAAGGAATTAAGGTATCAGCCACCCTTCAGGACCGTCCGCGCGCGGATCGCTGTAGCGTTAGTTGTTTTTATAAAAAACCCTATAAACCATGTATTTTTTGAAAGTTTAATAATTCCAGATTATGGCTTTTTACTAAAAATACGATAAACTTAAATGTGTTTCGAAAATGGGAAGCTTTGTGTAAAAGTACATGTCTTTCTAAATCATGTTCCACTCCCTCCGGAAATAAACAGAAGAAAACGATTAACACCGCATTCGCTTCTCAACACGTTCGGCTAAAAAACCGTGTCTCAGATTTTTGACAAGTGCGTTTGTTTTTCTTTTATTGGCAAATGAAGTTGGGAGTGACAATTAGTTAGCACTCCCTGTGGAAAAAAAGCTCTAGCTTTAAAATTAAAAGGAGTATTAAAATTCGCAGAAACAGTTTTGTAGAAGAGATGTAGGTCATCATTCTGGCCAAATTTCAGCCAAATTGGTTGAATGGCTGCCGACTTGGAGTTCAAAATGCACGCATCGCTCGGCAAAATTTTCCTTCCGAGATAAAAAGGAAAATACATTTTTTTCGGCATCTTACCTGGAATGAGATTATGACACCTAAACGTCTATTCTGATCGATACCATAGAGGGATCAACTTTCTCTAACAATAGGACTTTGACAGGTAACAGGAACAAACGTTCGCGTAAACACTCACGATAGCCAGGCGATAGCGAACAGAACGGCGCCTCAAATCAGATGAAACCGACGAGATCACAAAACGACTGTGCTGTAAGAAATTAGATTAGTTGGGTAAGAAGTTATTCTATCTTCCACAGTTATTTTCACAGGCACAGTATGCGAATATTGGAGTAAACAAATGCACGCGGGTCGCACGCTAGCGACTTGTGCGCTGTTTTGTGTCGCAGAATCAATTCAACCTAAAATTAACTTTAGGTAGTATTTGTACAGGGCGACTTCATTTTTGCTTTTAATGGATTTGATGGAAGTCACTTTGCTTTGACTCTGGAAGTGGTAGGAGAAACCTTTGTCGCTCGTTATGAAATCGGCCACGCAGCGCAGACAATTATTGTATGTAATTGGATAATTGAAGATATGACTGAAATGTCAACAGCTAATTACAGAAAAATAATGAAGGAAATCTTTCATGTTCAATAACTTTCCACAGAAATAACATTTTGAGGTAAAAAATTTGGAAATGAAAGCTATTTGCGAGATCTACCAGAATTTCAAAAAATTGAAAATTTCACAAAATGGCAATTTTGAAGTGTGGCTGATACCTTAAGGAATTCCGTCGTTTCGTTTGGCCGCAGGATAACTTGGGCGTCTATATTTCTTTGAAGTATTGTTTTCTTACCACTATAAGTACGACAAAGTAAATCCAGTTCCAAAAGTTGTGAGTATCTTGGACAAAATACATGATATCTGACCACCCCTCCAGAGTAATAACCTGTTGAAATCAAAGACCATTCACAGGGTCAGATTTGTGTGATGGATGCTAGAGAAAACCATCGGCGTCTTAGTGGCTGTGATGAGGTCAGTAACAAGGTTGTTTAATGTTAATTTTGTTGGGGGCGCGCCGGGTTGCCTATCGATTGCCAATTGATTGCCAATTGACTCCGGATCGAGCGTTTCGGGTTCAAGCACTGGCCGGAGTCATTGTGTTGTACGTGTTCTTGGGCAAGACACTTTACTGTGAAAGTGCGTCTCTCCATCCGGCCAGGAGTATATAACTGCGCTGGAATAGCAGTGGAGTGGCGTTAAATAATGCCAATAACAATTAGCCATTGGATTCCTCTTCCTCTGATCTTTACCTCTCTGAAAAAATGACCTATTCAGTTTAGGAAAATTTCCTCACCTGAAATATGGCAATCCATGCAATACCGATATTATCAAACGATGTTGTATCGAAGAATGGATTTGGTCCATTAGGTGTGCAGTCGGTATAGTACTGATTCCAGTTAACACACACTGATTTGTTCACAACAGAGTTATTATCAAAGGAGCCATGACACTCGTTACCGTCCAGGTAATACGGTTTGATATCAGAACACGTGCTGGTACCGAGATCCTCTGGTGCAGAGCAGGCGAAATCTGGATTAGTGAAGGATGGTTGGTAAAATGTTGAACGGTTATATCTGACGGTATGAAAAAAATGTAAGTTGTTAAAATATTAAAACATGCTGTGAAGTTATTTTTATTTCCTTCTGATCGACGCTCCGACGTCACCTTACTCTAACTTATTGATATACTACATAAATCATCAACTAGGGAATATTGTGATGATGTACTACCTAATTCTCAGAACTAACATTAACCAATTCTATGGTAGTCCGTAAGGAGAATTATTATTTCAAGGTTTGGACTGAAGTGGTTAATAAGATTATAAATAAGGCGCTAAACGTCCCCAAGAACTCTCTCTTATTTATAATTTTAACCTAAAAAAATAAACCTGAGTCTCATTCTGATGTTTTGCTGCTCAAAAAAAACATTGATCATAACAAATACAAACAATTTAACTTGGTATTCGAGTTGAACGCCGTAAATATAAAGCTTGTGTTCTGTGCAAGACACTTTACTCTCACAGACGAGTGCTTCTCTTCATGGCCCAGGAGTACAAATTGGTAATGGCAAACTGACACGGCAATGCTGGGGATAAGCTGCGATGAACTAGCATGTCATGAAAGGGAGTAGTGATACTCCTAGTCGGATTCATGCTAAAGCCGAGGAACCGGAGTTAAATGCCATGCAGCACCAATGAGCCATCTGACTTGTCGGATTGCTATTGAGGATTGGGACTTTACCTGGTAAAGAAGGCTGAGTCCTGGGTAAAGGTGGTAAAACATCGGTTTCTCAGTTTTCCTTGCCATAGCTGCACGCCGATGATTCCGAACACGAAGAAGATCAAAAATGACAGAAGAAGAACATTGCCGAGCATTGGAAGCGTGTCAAGAAGGAGTGTGACCAGGATCCGGATACCTGCAAAAACAGACCAAAAAAGTCATATGTTCCATGCATGTTTGAGGAGATAGATGGAGTATATTACATGACTTGTATGGAGATATGGTATTTATCATTACCATTCCAGCGTTAGAATTGGCTACAAATGAGAGTTTCGAAGACTAAAGATCGTCCTAACATCTCCAAAGATACCCACATGGCATACCTGACGTCCCTTTCCAGTGCATGTTGCAAGAGACAATGAGAAAATGATCTGAGACCATAAGATTCAACCCCTGCTTGCGGACCTCAGAAAGATTGGTGTTATTATGGTGTTACAGCCTCTACGGAAATTTTCGGATGGTCCATGGAAAAATGGAAAATTTCTGAGAGTTTCCAAATATCTACGAAGATTTCGAAAGGTCTTTTAAGGTACATTTAAGCCATCTTCGGAAACAGTGCGTGAATATCCTGATAAATGCACTCGTTTTGCTCGGCCAATACGAACGTATTTTTTGTGCGCCAGACAAGACGTCAGCGATAATATATATAACCAGTTAAGGAGCAGTTTTGTACTTACTTGGAACTTTGTTGATGGCTCGAAGAGGTCTCAGAACTCTAAAGGCCCGTATGATGGTAAGATAGTTGCCTCTTTTGACTGCTTTCTCGATCAAGCTTGAAAATAGGAGGGAATGCAACACAATAGCCAGTTATTCGATCTTAAACTGAACTCGCGGCAGAAGTCTTCAAAAGTCTTTGGATCATCTTCGGAAGTTTTGAAGTCTTTTTGGACCCGTTTTGGTCACGTTCAAAAGTTTCGGTGAAAGGTCCTCGGGTAAAAGTCGGGAATCTAAGAAGTAATTTTAGCCTCGACGAGCAAAAATTGCCGAAAAAATGCCCTATGTTTAACTAAAAAAAATACACTGTTATTTTGCCCTCGACGAGTAAAAACTAACAAGAAATGTCCTGTATCTTAACCAATCAGTAATTTTGCCCTCTATGTTATAAGATAACTTTGCCTTACCCAATGATCACGATAAAGCAGTCCAGTCTGTTCCACTTGTCCTGTAAATAGCCCTTCTTTCCAGTGATACCCATTGCTATCATCTTGATCACCATCTCGGCGAAAAGAAAGCGAAGATAACATGTTCCACATTCTCAAGTACTTGGCACCGAGTGGAGAGGCAGTTCTTGTCAAGCGGATTGAACATGGCTAACGTCACACAGTTGATAAGGATCACAAACATACTGATACGTTCGAACCATGTGCGATGATGTTAAGGACAAGTTGCAAGCATTTTTAAATATATAAGTATACCGCAAGCCAAAAAATGTAAGGATTTTTTTTGAAAAAGCATCATTTGGTTTAGCCCGAGATATAAATTTTATCCTAGCATAATTATTTATGGGCATGAATATGTCAAACTATTGGAGAGTGTTTTCGCCTCGTGATACGATTGGCTACCTAAACTATTGGTATATCTCCTTAACTTTAAGTCACTGATTTGCAAAAATAATCTAACCATCCATCTCATTCTGGCGAAAGAAAGCTTTAGGTACAGACTGTTCACAGTTAGTTTTACAACCATTCATTAATTCATTTACTACTTCATTTATCGCCGCCGCCTGGTTTGAGTCTGTTTAGCTCATATCGATCAGTTGGTAGAGCACCAGACTGTATATCGATCAGTTGGTAGAGCACCAGACTGCAGCAGAGTGGGAGGTCGCGGGTTCGAGTCCCGGCCGGACCAAAACCAGGGTCTTAAATTTAAAATAACTTGTAAGATCATGCTGCGTGTGCTCAACACCTTGTCTTGTCTCTCAGTTCAGATGATCGCGTCATTGGGTGGTCTAGCCTAGTCTAGCCTAATCTCCTTCATCCTTACATGTCAATAGACCTTTCTCCAAAATGGCCGCCGCAAATTCATATTAATCTGAGCTGAAAATCAATACCAGCAACTGAAATACCACCTCTTGTTCGGTAATCGTACGACGTTTCGTTAGGTTAGGTTCTACCTGAGTCGAGAAAACGGAAATTGAAAACTGGAAAATTTAGAGACGTTTGTATGACTGGGGGTATGGCGTATATCCCCCGGCAGTCATACAAACGTCTCTAAAATACAGCGACAAACCAAAATACCAGGCGACGTCATAACTGGTCGATACGTTTTAACAATGATAAATTTAAGATTAATGGTTGGTATGGTAACCATCCTTGTAAAAAAAAGACGCCTGACACGAGCGAGATATTGTGTGCGTGCAGCGTTTTATTTGAGGCGACATGTTTTGCGTCAAAACCGTTTTTAAGGACAATGGGAATTAGAAACGTTATCATAAGCAGTTTTGATCTACGCCGAAGAGAATATATACAATTGTTAAAAAAGGCTAAAATACTATTAAAAGTTTATAAAAACACCCGAACGTTTTCGACTATTTTGTCATCTTCAAATAGAAAGAGAATGTATTATTATGGTTTTAAAACATAACATTATATGATCGCTATATTCCCATTAATTGAGTCTTTAAAATTGTTTACCTCAAATTTGAAAATAATTTTAACTTTTGGATCAGTTGAACTGTACGCTATTACCATAAGTGGGTGATGTATTTGCATAACGACTGCGATCTTTGCGGTAAAATCACGAAACATTAGTTGATATAAATTTTAGCCTTTCAAGTTGAATTTGGTGTTTATACTGTGGCTCCAACTGACTGTACTGTCGAATACAAAATTAATGACGTTTTAAAAAGAGCAATTTAGTGCTGAGCACAGCGGTCAAGTATGAAATCTCCCGTAGCTTGACGCGAATACAACAGTTAATTTTTCAGTGATTTTTCAATTTACGTGCACCCCGCGTGTTGTAGCTATTTGTTTACATATCAAGAGAAGTGGACTAAATGGTTGATAATTTTCGTACTTTTCATCCGTGTTATAAATAGCGTTTTAGAAAGTCACAAACACTCCCACGACTCCCACCACATGGCCCGAAAAAAATTAACTTCAATGAAACTTCCGTGAACTAAAATAATTTTTCGATAGATAAATAAATATATATATTTTTTAATTCTCTATGTACTCTATTGTTCTGTTCCTTGTTTTATGCATGGTAACCCTTTATTCACACACAAAAACAATCGTTTTTAAAAAAGGAATCGGAAAGGTTTGTTCAAAGAAACTATGAGCTAAGACGGAGGGAATAAATTATGCTTTGGAGTATAAATCACAATTAGTTTAGCAGAAAACTATTTCTCAAATTGCTTCCCTTGTTTGCACAATAAATGTTGTTTTGATATATCGAAGGAAAGCAAATGGGAAGAGAAATTATTAAAAAAACAGAGCCTATAGAATCACAACATAAATAGATTCCCCTTAAAATCGACAGCCAATATTCAGTTTTAAGTGATGTATTAAATATGCCTGGATAACTCCTCAAAAATTGGGTAGAATTTCACGAAAATGCAAAAGCTAATTTTGTTGTTTATAATAAGGAGCATTCAATCTATTGGAACAATTCAAAATTAAAAGATTTCCTAGCGAGCGCAAACACATATGGTTATATCCGCTCTAAGCGCCAGGCAGGTTATTGGCATAAGCTGAAAGCTTAAACCTCCATGCTTTAGAACCCTTTAGATCCGCCGTATGAGCTAACTGGGTTTTGATAGCAAATTTTATCGACAATCGATTGTATATAGCTGTTGATATCGATATCTAAGTATTTATACTTAAGACGTATGACTCACCGGCCTTCTATCCTACTGAGACCAAAAATACAAATGTAAATTTCTGGAAAAGTAGTGCGCGTGTTCCATCTCCAAATCCGTCAGATTAAACTCAAAATTGTACCTCTAAAATTACGCAATTGCTGAGTTTTCAAAAGGATATGGCCATTTTATCAGCTGAATCATCCAGCGCCTTGCTTTGCTGTTCTTAGAGATAACAAAACAAGAGACGGCTTCAAATTCTAAGCTCCCGTATGTGTCGTCTTGGGTTGGCAGTGTTGTTGCGGTTTCGCTCGGTGCGCCGTTTCCCTCCATTGTTGTTCAGTAAAAGCCGGCGATTGTTCTGTGATGCTGTAGCTCATGAGTCGTACGTGTTAAAGATTCACCTTTATAAACACAATGCTGTCTCGTTTGTGAATCCCACACTGCCTTTTTCATGATGTTTATCTCAGAAAAAGCTTGCAGTTCTTGGTGCATCCGGTACACCGTGCGTCATATGTAGTTTTTCAATTTTCGGCGTGAATTAAATCTACATCTCCTGCGAATAAACAAAATAATAAAGTTGGATTTGACGCTATGGTGCAAACTAAACGTCGCACATAGTAACAATGCCTGGCCGTAAAGCTATTTTATAGAACCGTCCAAAAAATATATAAAAACGCTAAACCCGACTGCACTTTTAAGAAAAGTAAAGCTATATACAGAACTGAGGTATACCTAAAACCAAGAAATAATGGGCATTTAAGTAACTTTGGTATTAACAGAGACCGACAGCTGCCTCATGTTTAATATTTATATTTCTCTAGTATTTAAACCCCTATTTGCCACACTTACAGCTGAATGTGACCAAATGTCTAGCTTTTTTCCATTTCATGGGTAACTGTCGAGCGGTTTTCTGGTCGAAATTTTTGTTTAAGTGTGCCAAAGCCGGACTTGCAAACACTAAAACCAAATTAAAATATTACCGGCTAAAACATTAAAGTTTACTTTGAGATATGGTAATAATATATAAGCCGTATATAACAGCAGTGAGCCAATGTAGTGAATAATTCTTCAAGCTAATATTACAGCTGATTTTTCCGTAGAATAGTTTTATAATTTCAAATTTACAATCGTGTTGTAAAGTTTTAGTATTTCTCATTCTTTGTGGTCAGTACATATGAAATCTTTTTAATAACAAAAACATAAATTAAAAGTAGACAGATCAGCATGGAGTAGGAAGTTGTACTGATGAAGATTAACATATTTTCATGCTGAACACTTTGTTCATTTTAACTTAAATATATGTTCTAATAGCTTCAGAATTCGGTTTTCATATTATGAATTTTTTTTTTCCTCACTCAGTATGACTTGCATTACAAAGCTATTTTAGTGTTCCCTCCATGTAGTAGATCCCTTGAAAATTATTTCCGTGTGATGAACTTATCTGTAGTCCATATATATATACGACAGTGAAGCGATAATACGATAATACGACCATTAGGTCTCCGCAAGAGAGACTGGTGCAAGTGAAGCCTCGAAAAGACTACATGTTAAAAAGCAGTATTCTGATTGGTTCCCTGAGCGATCCGAATTGCTACGATGGACGAATGTGTTACACCGATTTTATTTTCTGGAACATTATTTAAAAGAAAATGGTTTTCTATTAAGTAGAAACCTTTTTTTTCTGGTCGACAATTTTGGTTTAAACACCTATAGGATTAAGTGGCTATACAAAAATGCGTGATTCAGATCTCTTAATGATTCGAATGTACTAACATTGTCGCATGCTTTTACCGAGAATGGATGTCTAATTTATCAGTAAAGTTTGTAAAAGAGCCAAGAATATAATAAAAAAATTGGGGGAATATTGATCTTGTTCTAAGTTTTATTGCAAGAGTTAAATGCAAATAACTGGGAAACTCGACCAATACAGAATATTTAGGTCAAAGTCCTTCTAAAAGTCTGGTAGCTATTTGGTCGGCCCTCCATAACATAAAGCAACCACAGTCAACTATCGCCTTGCGAACACCGCCGTTATTACGGGTCGTCCGCTATTACGGACAAAATTCAGCCCTCCACCCGGCGAAAGCTATTGAGCTAGGTTTGACTGAAAATGACTCTCGCTATTACGGATTCCAAACTACGTCCCGAGAGTGTCCGCTATAACGAGAGTTGAATGTAGTAGTGATCGCTAAACCCCAGCATTTTTGTCAGGTTAACCTGACAATTCGCCGCGGTAGCCATTTATACGTACCCCCGGTTGGAGAGAGGCACTGTGAGCCGGAGTAAAATACGGACCTTCAGATTGGGGTACGAGTACGAGAACGAGTACGAGTACGACTTTTTAAAACTATCGCGCATCCTCAAGATCATCATGTGTCACGCCAATCTCCGGCCAGAACCCACACTTCTACTGGTCAGTCACAGGGAAGAGCGAGGGCTCTGGGAACAATATTGTTTTGAAAGTAGAAAGTCGTACTCGTACTCGTTCTCGTACTCGTACCCCAATCTGCAACTCGAGTAAGACGGCGGCATGCAACCTTTGATAATTTGTTTCAATAAAAAAAGCTATAGAATATATAGAATTCGAGGGCATGCGTTTTTAATTTAAAATGGCGGGTGTTTTGGAGACAAGTCTAAGAGACATTCCCGCATGGTGTGCCTGGTAAACAGACCTATTTTCTGCGGCTTAGAATATAAATTTATCCGGAGAAGACTGTACTAGGAGGTTTCCGTATGAACACCTGAGCAACTGTAGTCTATAGGAGGGAAAGCAGTATGCAGTACCTCCGCCAGCGGGTCGAAAGACGAAAAACACTTTTCTCAGCGGTGCTTGGCCTGCAGCGGTTTGAATGCCCCTTCAGTTTATGCTAGAAAGAGCACCTAGAACCACAAATCTCAGTATACTTAGCAGGGCCGAATAACAAACGCTTAGTATACTTCATGCACTAAGAAATTACTGTTTTCCTTTTTCCGTTTCGCTTCCTCCAGATTGCCCGGTGGTTGCCCTAAAGCCTGTGACCCGGCGCAGATGGACCGGATTTTTAAA